ATATTTCTTCTAAGAATTGTTATTTTAAAATTTTCTTTGTTATGCTGTAAATTATTTATTTTCAGGAGAAAAAGAACTGGCAAATGTATAATGTAACCTTCTACCGAGAAGACTCACTGTCATCTAAAAGGAAATCAGGCACAGCCATATGTGATACTTTGGACTGCTGAATTTCTTAAACATTGCAAATATTTTCCACTAACAAATCTTTGAGTGGTTACTTAAAATATAAATTACAGTAGGACCCCCTTATCCATGGGATCAGTAACAACTAATTCACTTATCCACAATCTGAAAATATTAAAAATATTAAAAGAAAATGATTCAGAAAAATTATTTTCACGTGTATTACTAGAACTGGCCCCTAGAGGGAGCCAGAGACCATGCTATGAATATTTGTTACCAAAGAACACATAACATGGTCCCTGGCACTTTCTAGTGCCGGTTCTGATAATGTATGTGAAAATAATTGTTTCCTTTTTTCTCTTTTACCATGCTCTCTCTCTCTCCCTCCCCCTCCCCCTTCCCCTGCTTGGGGAAGGACAGTTTCATGACTGAGTGTGAACTTCAATCAAAGTACCAAGTCTCTCAAGTACCAGTCCAACAATCATCCTTATGCTATGCTCACTTTCACTGCTTTCCTTCTTAAATTGTACCTAGGATAATTTGAAGCACTTTATCTTTCAATTTTAAAAATACATTTTGCTGCCTGAAGCAGTGGTATTCTTTGTCCCTGTTCCATGTAAACTTGGCTTTTGTACCCTAATCCACTGGGAAGGCAGTTGAGTGGATAGCTGGATATTATAGAAATCCTTAACTGTCCTACACGGATGTAAATCAATTCTCCATTTGAAATATCCGAAATGAATTATGCTGTTAATCACTAGAACAGATACTACACTTGATCTTAGCCGAAAGGCTGAGAAGCGGGGTTGGAAGGCAGATTTAAGAAAATCCCGAGGGAACGGAGATTCTGCCCTTGTGGCTCTGGTGAGATAGAATCTATTGAGCACATGATGCTCCGGTGTAACAGGCATAATAAGATCCGAGGAAAATATATTACACCTCTCTCAAAAGATATGGCAGGTCAATCGGATTCGGACTACTGTAATCAATTGTTAACCGACCAAAATCGGACTACTACAGAACTGGTAGTGAAGTTTTGGGCAGCATGCTATAGCAGACAGAATAGACAGCTAAACCCTTAGACCTTGCTATATTTGCTGTTTTAGATATTTTACTTTTTGTATGTCTGGCATGGCTCTTTGTAGTGCACAACAGTCTTTGAAATTTTGTATTCAATTATGTATGGCTTGATGCCGTAACAATAAAGTATGTATGTATATAATCACTACTACATCCCAGATCACCTAAACCAGCTCATCAATTGATGTACCTTTTATTGCAGTAAACTTTCCACCAAGACAATCCGCACCCTGGTCCAAAATCTGTTCCTCTTCAATTAATTTCTCCTGTAAGTTAATCATAACACCATTAACTTCTCCTTTAAATTCCAACTAAACAGAGCACAATGACAGTGATGCACAAGCAGCGAGTGATTGATAGCACTGGCTTACCTTAAAAAAGATCTGGGACAAACATCTGCATGAGTTTTTGGCAGTCTCATATTTTTTCTGCACTATCCACAAAATCTTGGTACACAATCTGAGAAAGATGGATTGACATTGAAAGTGAGCTGTTTGTTTGAATTTTTTAGTAGTCTAATAAAGGTATCAATCCAAATGGAGACTACAGCCAAGAAATAAAAAATGTCTGAGACTAGGAAAGGCAGCAATGAAGGAACTAGAAAAGATCTTACTTACTTTACTTTATTGGTGCTTAAAACTGTAGGTCATTGCAATACTGTATATCAGTGACAGCATTGAAACATATGTGGCACTCTCCGTAGGTCATTGCAATACTGTATATCAATGACAGCATTGAAACATATGTGGCACTCTCAAATCACAATTACACTTAAAAAGAAAGATTTAGGACTTTTGATGTTTGGCACAAATCTTCTTTGCTGCCAGGGCAAATTTTGCTACTTGATGGATAGTTATTACTTCCCTGCCCACAAGCAGCATACAAAGTTGAGCCAGAGGAGGGCTATCACACAAAGTTCTAAGTATGCCTGCAAGGAATTTGGTCCTGGGGTGATCATATAAAGGACATCTTAACAAATAATGATAAATATATTCAACTTCTCCTGATTCACATATAGAAAGTCTTTGCTCAAAAGGAGCATTTTCATACACTAATATAGCTGTTGGCATACACTGAAAGCGCAGAGCTGTAAACTCTTTTCTTAGAGGGGCTGAGGTTAAATTAACAACGTAGTCCTCTAAACAGATTGATGTTTTATACAGAGGGAACCAACAGAAATAGGACATTTCTGAGATGGCATGGAGATCCTGCCTCTTAGAGTAAATACATTTTTTTTCTTTAACCAGATGCTTAGCTCTATTTGAAACAAAGGTAGGAAGGGAGTCTGTGTCAATCCCATAGTTCTGCAAAATGGGTCTAACTAAATTCACCCAGGATTTTCGAGATGAATTCTGAAGCTGTTCTGTGTAGCACTTCCTAGGAAGGCAAGAATCAGCATACTGGCCAATTTCAGCCAATACAGTGGTGCCTCGCTTAACGAGCGCCCCGTTGAGCGATTAAATCGCTTAACGAGGGGCTCTGGGCCATCGCTGGAGCATTCGCTCAGTGATGGCCCCTATGGCGTTTTTTCGCTTTGCGATATTCGCTAAGCGATTCGCTTAGCGAATATCGCATAACGAAGCGGGGGAGAACAGCTGATCGGCGGTTCCAAAATGGCCGCCGGAAGGTCCGCGCCGCATTTTCACGCCCTGCCCTCGCTTACCAAGGGCGCGAAAATGGCGGCGCTATGGAGGAAGATCGCTTAACGGTGAGTTTTAAAGCCATAGGAATGCATTGAACGAAGTTCAATGCGTTTCTATGGCTTTTTTATTTCCGTTTAGCGATGTTTCGCTACAGCGAAGGTTAATCCGGAACGGATTAACCTCGCTATGCGAGGCACCACTGTACATGGTCAGCGCAATATGAGAATGTGTTTAAATTGGAATCAGTCCTACTTCGGCCCTTAGACATGCAGAGGGTGAGCAATCTCCAACATGTCATGTCCTCAACAGTCCTGCTCAGCTCTTGCAAACTCAAGCCTGTGGTTCTTTTAGGAAGTTAGTCCCTCTCCTATTTGGTTTTCCTTTGTTTCTGCTCCATTCAACCCTTCTCAGCTTTATTGTCTTTCCCACAGATTATTTGGTTTTCCTTTGTTTCTGCTCCTTCTCAGCTTTATTGTCTTTCCCACAGAATCCTTTCTTTTCACGATGTGCCCAAAATAGGACATCTTCAATTTCAACATTTTCACCTCCAGAGATGGGTCAAGCTTGATTTGATTCAGGTCCCATATTATTTATTCATCTTTCTGGCAGTCCAGGGTACTGCATCTGCGAAGCTATCTTCCAGCCCCCCTTTTCAAACAAATCATTTTTTTCCTGTAAGGTATCTTTACTGTCCAATTTCCACACTCTTACATGGTGATTGGCAATACAAGAGTGTAGATTATCTTGGTCTTGGTCTTCAGTGACACATCCTTACGCCTAATTATCTTTTCTAGTTCTTTATATAAGATGTCCAAGCCTAAAAGCTTATAATCAGTTGTACAATTATGATGATGATGATGATGATGATGATGTTTATTTATTTATTTATTTATTTATTTATTTATTTATTTATTTATTTATTTATTTATTTATTTATTTATTTATTTATTTATTTATTTATTTATTTATTTATTTATTTATTTTATTTTATTTTATTTTATTTTATTAATTTATGTGCCGCCCACACTACCGAAAGGTCTCTGGGCGGCTTACAACATTTTTGTGCTGCATGTGCCTCAGTTTGGGGTATAGTCATGGCATTTTTCTTAGCTGTCAACTGAGGGTTTATAATTTCTGCTGTAGCTTTTTGTGCTTTATTTTGAAAATAACCTGTTTGAGTTATATTATTATCTTCTATAGAGGAGGCTTTAACCAAATCAACTAAACATAATGATCTGGCTGGAGGCGGTGGTGCTTGGCAGATCCTTGAATCTAATAGCAATCTATGTGCCGGGTCAGCCTCTGATAGGATTTGTATACAGGAAGCTTGTGATGCCGTTGGATAGAAGTCTGCAGATTTTGTTTGAAGTTCATTTGCTTGTTCTTGCGAGGGATTTAAACTAAATGAACTACTGATTAAATTATGGATAAGCGCTTGAAGCCTGTTTATGATATGCTGTTGCTCTGTTATAGGCAAAGTGAAATACTTGTCAATTAGAACTTTCTCCTCTTCGGAGATCATTGTAAGCACTATTGGCATACCCTTTGGAAAGTAGTCACTTACTTCCAGAGAGCTTTGGCAGGTGTCGCTTGTGTGTCTGTTTAATTGGTTATTATAGGTGAGGTTCTTGCTTCTATGACCAGTGGAGTTTAAATTCTCAAATCTTGAATCCACATCACGAAGGTCTAAACGTATTAAATCATAAATTGGTAAAGATTTATCCTGTTCTATAATTTATCCATCCCTAGCAGACCAGTCTTTGATCAGTGATTAGAATATGGCATTGACAAAGTGCCTCTTCACCTGAACCCCTAAACTAGCAAAAGCCTGCCTTTGTCTAAATATAGGATACACAGAAGTCGGGCCTGTGAAAGTTGCTTTTATCCCATAGGTGGGATTTATGAAGCAAATATATTCAACTGTGGTTCCTAACCTTGGATAACCCACATGTTTTTGGACAGCAACTCTCAGCCAACACAACTGGTCATAAGCACTTCTGGGAATTGTAGTCCAAGAACACCTGGGTTACCCATGATTGGGAACCCCTGTTAGAAGCCATCAAGCCTTTCAAGGTGGTTTTTTTTAAAGCTTATAATATGCATTTGTAAAATAATGTACTGTATTATCTCTAATGACTTGATTATTTTCAGAAGCAGAAGAAAGTCTTGGCAATCAGAGAAGAGCTAACATTTCAAATGAGGTAAATTTCTGCTTTTTCATAAATGATGTTGCTGTTGTAGAATTTGCCTTTTAATCAAACTGTTTAAAATAGTTTAATTAAGAAATAGATTGAAATACACTAATACACAGTTAAGAACATTTAGTTAAGAATAAATGTTCATGATCTACCGTAAAAAGTTCAAATGCGAACATTTATTCCAGTACTACCAAAATTACTATATAAGGGGATGTGTACATAGAGAGAGAAAATATATGGGGGTGGGGGAGAAAATGTTTACTTGGGGGTGGAACATTTTCAAAGACAAAGTTGATTAACCCAGAGTTTACCTAAAACAAGGAACTAACCACAGTGTATGAAAAAGTGCCTCACAAAAGCTACATTAAAATATTTAGCAGCGGCAGCAACAACAACAACAGTTTCTCTTCATTAATTGTCCAATCAGCACAAAGGAAACTCAGTACTCAGGCTTAAGTATTGCGTATAGCTGCATAGACAGAAATCAGAAGACACACTCTTTATTGCTGCATCTTCATTTCTCCCTTCTCCAAAAAAGAGGATGGCGAGATATGTGCCCCCCATTCAAACAATGGCCTTTGTGATTTTGCACCAAAGAAGGGTTGGCCATGTCAAACTGTTACAGGAAGAACATAGACTCTTGTAGCACCTTAAAGACTTACCCATTTCATTTGGAATTAATTCTTGTGAACTGGAACCAGCTTCATCAGAGGAATGCATCTGATGGCATGCAACTGGTGAAGTGGGCTACAGTCCACAAAAGCTTGTGCCAAGCAAAACATGTCAGTTCTTAAAAGTCTCTGCAACAGACTAAAACATGCTGCTTATATAGACTACACCCCTTCCTAAATATGAGGTAGATATAAGCTAAGGGAGCCATTGGACCAAAGCAACTCATTAAACTTTATGACTGAGCAAAAATGGATCTTGGTCTAAAAATGTAACACGTCAACTCCTATGCCATTGTCTCTCTTCAGGTTAGTTGCATCGACTTGTGCCCTTCTATAAGCAGGAGAGGTCCTTCGATGTGGGAAGGGTTTACAATGTGCCCTTGACAGAGTCTTCTACTAGCAAAGAAGACGGGAGATAGCTCTAGTGGATTCTATACTCCATCAGCAGTCTGGAGTGCCACTTTCCACACTGTCCTAGTCCTTCCATCTCCTGGAGTAAATTTTCAAGGGGCAGGGATGGGGGAGTCTCTGACATTAGCAGAGGAATCTGCTAGAATCATGATATAAGTGAATCATCTCATTTATTATGACATTTGAAAACCCATCTCCATTTTTGTATATTGATAAACTAAACATTGACTACAGAGATGGGTACTTGCTTCCCATGTAAATTCTTACTTATCTCTAGAGGTCACAGTAACTCCTTCTCACTAAGTGCTGCTTTACCACCTGTAGGAAAGTGGGTTTGATTTAAGCAAATCATGATGATATTGTTGATGAGTGGTTGCTTCATATTTTAAATGCAAAATCCTAGGAAAAATAAAATATGCTTCTGCAAAATGAATCATTCCATGCAAATAAAAACCATGAGTTGGGATAAAAGATGCCTGCACTAGGAACATGATGCTCAGATTGATCATCAGATCAAATGACTGATTAATTATGAGTGCAAACAACTAGGATTCATTTTCAAGATGAAAATGAAGCAAAGCATTATAAAAAAGTTATTCTGGTTAAAAATTGAAGAAAAACAATAAAGACAAACACATTTGATGGATATTACCCCAAGTAGCATTATATAACACACTTTGCAGTGATGTGGGTTCCCTGTAACAAGATCAGAACTCAAAGCACTTAGATTGTCTTTCATTGTTTATATAAAAAGTGTCGTTCTGCAGCAGGCATTTAAAAATAAGTTGAAATCCTTGCTTTTCTTGATTTATTATTTTCAACAGTTAATATAAGACTTTCTGTTTCAGTGCCATATTTGACTGCTGAAATTATTTTTGTAACCCAAGTGGCCATCCTGTTTCCCCGAAAATAAGACCTAACCTGAAAATAAGCCCTGGTATGATTTTTCAGGATGCTCGTAATATAAGCCATACCCCCAAAAATAAGCCCTAGTTAAGTGAAACCCCGGCCTCCACCACTGTGCAACAACCAGAAGATGACATGATTGTATTTGAATTAACGTAGATTGTTGTACATGAAAAAAAATAAAACATCCCCTGAAAATAAGCTCTACTGGTTTTTTTGGAGTAAAAATTGATATAAGACCCTGTCTTATTTTTGGGGAAACATGGTAACATGTAGAGTTTCCTTTTGTAAATGTAAGCAATACAATACATATGCTATTGCACTGCCATATCTTACTTTGTAAGTATCGAGACAATACAAGTAAAACTAGCAATTACTATACACTATATACATATATATGTACAGTTGATACAGAGAATTATTTCTGTTTTGAAAAATAGCATTGAATATTGTTTTGCAGGAGACACTGAACAAGAGTAACAGACCAAACATGCAAGATTCAACACAAGGTAAATTTTACTCTAACTGTAAAAACCACCCCTGCTCTTTCAAATCTGTTATATCTTTTTCGGCAATATAAGCAAAACGTAAGCTTTACAGGTTTTTTGCATAGGGTAATACTCTGAGATTTCCCCCTACTTTTCTTACTTGAGGACTCCCCAGCTTTCTTACTACCATGCTTCGCAATTTGTATTCCTACTCAATTCAGTACTGCCACAAGGATAGCAATATGAATCAACGTTCTCTGTCATATCCATGCTTTCTTCTACAGTGTCTAATGATCCTGACAGCTTTTCCATGGGCTCATACAGATAACTGTCAGTAATTGCATCTTCCACTGTGATTACACCAAGTGAATGTAAAAGTTGATACTGAGTGCAGAATTAACTTTTCAGTGAAGCATCAAGAAAATAGCCCTTGAAGCTGCAAAGTGTGTTGGCAGTGTCAGAGCATGTCTCTGGAAGTATTTGTTTTCTCAACCAGTTTTCCAAAAATCTAGGAGCCTGGTCTAGGAGTGTTTTGCATAGTACCATATCTTTGTTTATGGACTATACTGTGCATAAATGCAAACTGAGATGTATCTGCATAATTTTACAGGTGTCAGAACTATTTTTTCATACTGCAGAATATCAGTCAACATTGTGGAGACTTTATGCTTTATGCATAAAATGTGCAAACTAAAAGTAGACTTTAGGCAGCTGACAGAGAAAGCAGAAAAAGATATTTGCGTCCTCTGCATTCAGAACATTGAAATTCTGTAGAAAGTTAGGAAACACCAATTGTGTAATATGAATAAATGTTGCAGATTAGCCTGATTGCACACATAAGCTTAGTTCACATTCTTTATTCTATTTCTGAGAATGTTGTTTATAACTGATTTTTAAAAACTATGGAATGCCCTCCCAACTGAAATTCGTCTGGCGCCGACATTGATGACATTTTGGCGCCAGGTCAAAACCTTTCTGTTCCAGAAGGCTTTTAATTGAAATAACATCAACTGTGGGTCCTGATGGCAATTTTAATTTTAATTTAATCGTTTTATCTTTTATTGTATTTTAATTGAATTTTAATTGTTGTAATCCGCCCAGAGACCTTTGGGTAGAGTGGGCAGCATACAAGTTCAATAAACAAACAAACAAACAAACAAACAAACAAACAAACAAACAAACAAACAGCCTGGGCTTGGGTGGGGGGGAAAAGGTTGGGAATATGTATAGTTAGCAGAAAGAAATGTTGCTGCCTGAAGCAAGCCTCAAACGATGTCTTTCCCACCCATATCAAGGTCAATATAGCACTCAAAGTTGGATGATATATTTTAACCCCTCAGACAGAAAACCCTGCAAGTACTTTTATGATCCCTGGCAGTCAACATAAAAAAATAATAATAAATCAAAGAACCAATCATTTGTTGGACTTAAATGGCACTTAAAATCTACTCATTCTGCCTAATGCTTGTCTTGAATATATAGACTGTATGGATAGCTGGATGCCAAAGGAAGAACAGAACTGAATGGTGTATTTTGGTTCCATTCCACCCAGCTTATTTCAAGGAGGGACCACCCAAACCATATTTTATCTGAGTACAGTTGCTGAGTGACATGTTACAAAGCCTGAAGTCTTTAACTGATAGCAACAGCCTAGAAAGGCAGAAAACATATTATATGTATGTCCCTCTATCTGAGACAACAGATACATATTCAGACAGAACAAAAGCCAAGGCAGTTGTGTGAATGCCAGCCTTATATGTAGAACTCAGCAAAGATCATATTTTGCACACTGGTTTATGTGTTGTTTTCACTTTATCAACAGCTTGCTAAAAGCCAGTTCATGCTGAGTTACACACCTGGTGTTGACATTTATACAAGAATTTTGGCTTCTGGTACTACTGGTAGCTGAACTGCAGCTAAAAGTCAACCTCAATTCAAAATCATGGCTGCCAAACATTGGGTGGGAAGGAGGGATTGTGAAAACAAAAAGCAGCCATGAAAAATCCAAAGAATATTTTTCTAGACAAATCTGTGACTACATTTGGACTTAACTTTATTGATTGAAGTTCTTGTTGCCTACGTTGCCTACGCAGAGATATTACCCAATAACAAACTAAAATTGTGCATCTAGAAATTACTTTCTGAAGCAGTTGACACATGAAGTTGGAAGCCTTGTAAAGACACCTCAACATTTGCAAAACAGAGTGCTGTCCTCTGAAGATGCCGGCCACAGAGACTGTTGAAATGTTAGGAAGAACAACCTTCAGAACACGGCCAAAGAGCCCGAAAATCCCACAACAACCATTTGCAAAACTAATTGTTTCTATTGTTGTGAACACATGAAAATAACCTGGTTTTTATTAACCAGTAAGCCCAAGATCTGGGGCGAATCCTGGCTTACAATGGATTACTAGTGTGCTAAAGATTCACACTTTGCTCCCATATTCAATGAGAGTGGCTATACTAAGCCACAGTCTGTTTATTGTGTGGTCTGGAAACTAGCATCTTCCCTTCTTTCTTTTCTTTTCTCCAAACATTCCAGAGTAAGAAATCCCTCTTAAAACCCCTGAGTTTGTTTAGTGGCAGTAGCAGAGGAAGAAAGTGGAAGTGACAGAAGAACATGCGCCAGTGTAATGCTTTTACTTGGGGTGCAGTCAGACAGAGCTTTGTCCCGTGGTTTGGTCCATTTTCAGGATAGGCTGGTTTTCTTCGTTTTCCAGCCACTACATGATATACAGGCAATTGTGAACCAGCTTGACCCTTATCCCTCCTTGTCACACCTTTTTTGGGTCCCTATCAGGGACTACTATATTTTGTTTAGTAAGGATAGAATTGCTCTATTTTGGTTCAGTTCCAGCATGTGTGGATAGGTTGGATCAAACCAAAGTGGCTTAATCTGTCACTTTGATTAAACTACTTCAGGATATAATCAGTTATTAGGACATTTAAAACTTTCTTCCTTTCCCCAATGTAGGAGGAAACAGAGAGAATGCAAAGTTTTTTTTAAAAAGCCCTTGCAATCCAATACTGAATTGGATCATTGACAATCCAGTTCAGCACTATGCCATTTGAATTTTTAAAAAAAGAAACTTGAAAGCTTCCTCCTGCTCCTCCATGGAGGGAGAGTCAGAAAGAGACAAGGAGGGGATCTTTTTCCTTTTCGTTTTTCACGTTTCCCTTTAAAGAGAGGTATATGTTAAATAGGGTCATTTGAAGTACAGTGTAGTTTCCTGCCCCAAAGCCACCTGAACCTTGCTTATGGATACAAAAATCACCCCAACTGGCATACTGTACCGCAAAGCAATTGTGTGTAGACAATCCAGCCTAATCCAGCCTGGGACAATTTGGCCGTTCTAATTACACCCGTGCTCATTACACCCGTGCTCATTACAATAAAACGGGGCTTTGTTGTGTTATGTTTATTCACTTAAACGTTTGGGATCTATTTTAGAACTTGTGTATTAAATAAAACCTTGGTCTTATCACCAGAGAAACTTGACAGAACAGAAAGTATTGTTACACATTTCAGTTGCAGAAGTTGTAATAATAAAACTCATATAAATGGGCATAAGACTGCAGCCTTCACATTATGATAATATGAAAACTAAAATTAATTATTTTTATCAATGTGAAAAAATAAACTGAGCATTACCTGTTTGATGTTCTAAATATGAAGAAAAGAGGAATATATCCATCTCTTCCAAAGTAAAGCAAGAGTCTGCTAGCCAGACTTAGCAGAGATCAGATTTAAAAAATGATTTTAGGGTGTGCAATCTTGTCTACTCTGATACAAGCTACATTGTTTGTAGGATTGTAATGTATCTATACAATATTAACATGTTAACTCAGAAGTAAATCTAGTTATGAGCCTTATTACCTAGCAACTGTATGTCTAAATATATGGGAGTAAGTCCTATTTAACTCTGTGAAACTTATAGATTAAAAATTACATTGTTGGAAAGATGGATCATCATCATCATCATTAAGAATGATAACTTAATCATAAACCAGAGTTGTCTTACAGTTAATAAAAATGAGTAGTAATCAATTGATCTTTTCACATCAAGAAGAATAATAAATTTTACTTTCAATGTTATGCTAATGCAAAGGCTGAAATCTTATACCATTTACCTATTATACTTAACTGCCCCTTCAAGAAACTAAATTTTGCAGTGATGAACTTTGTCCTCTCAAATTCTATCATCGTTATAAATGCCCATGGTAAAAAAGGTACTCAGCTCAATATTGATCTCTCTCTGAAAAATAAGATCTAAAGACACACTTGTCAGCTTGACTCTATTTTTAAATATATATATATAATGTGGTATGACTGCTCACATAGAAACTTGAGAAGGAAAAACGTTCATAAACAAAAAGCACAGAACTGAGGAAAGTATACACTGGAATAGTCAACTAACTTTCTCCAGAGTTTTGTTTGATACTTTGTAAATGCCTAGTTATTAGTAGTGTAATACTAGGAATGTTTTTTCATGCACATTTTTTCTGTTAGTGCTGGACATTGTTTCCGAGAGCAAATAATATTTAGCAGTTTGATAAAATCATTTATGTAAAATTTTAATTGATATTAAATTGTGATATTGCATCAGTAAAACAGATGTCCTTTGAACATTTTTAGTCTTATACTGCATCTGTTATATGTATCATACCAGGAAAGTTTGAATATCATTTGTTTTACATGGGCACTATGTGCTAAGGCGCCAACTACACAAACCTTTGGAATGTATCTATCCTATTGCATAACCTTTTTCCAAATGTAATCCAGCTACAGCACTGGAAACATTTAATTTGCTCCAATTTAAAGCTACTTATCCTCCTGTCATAGGTTCTGAAGTTCCACAGGGCTCCCTTTTGCCCTGGGGAGCCTTTGGGGAGCCTCAGGATGTTGTGTGTGTTTGTGAGAGAGGGAAACCTTTACATATCAAACATTGCCAACAGGGCAGCCACAACAGCAGTCCTGATCCTAGTGGTGAAGATCAGGCAGCAATTTTTGACTTGCAAAG